TTTTTAGGCAACATGCGTGGGCTGCAGACAGGATAAGGAGTCATTACTGAGACTCCATCTTAGCCCAGCCCTTTTATGAAGAGATATTTCAAGTTATCATCCTAGGTGACACATCATTCTCTCAAATACAGTAGTAGGTATAAACAGTTCTATATGTCTACAGCAAACAGCACCAATACTTCCTCACCTTTACAAAGGCCACACAGACTACCCTTGTCTAGCTCACAGTTGTACTCATTAGTGAATATGTTTGTCTTCCTCATCCTGTCTTCAGAAGGATGGAAAATAGGCATATATAAACTAAAGCTATAAAATGGGAACTAAACTCAATCCTCTGAAAAACAAGCATGTAAAACAATTTCAAACCTAGTATCAATATGACTGAGAAGCTAGGCAAGAGTCAGGCATCTTGTAAGCCGTTCCAGATGGTAAAAAAAGGTAGCAAGGTCTGGTATTTCTTGTTTGTGTACAAGTCCTGTTCCCAAAAGAAAAGGAGAATAAAACATCAAAAGGAGCATTTCATTGCTCACAGTCTGAATCAAGAATTTGTTCAGATGTCAACTGGCTTATGTCCCTCTTCCCCAGATGAATCTCTTCTTTCCACTGTTCATACTTGCTATTATCCAAATCAAGATTTTGCAAAATCGCTAACAGAGCTCATTCCTGAGCAGCTCTGTGTTTACCTTCTCTCTCAGCAATCTCGTAACTGCCGATAGTTAATTTTTGTTTACCACAATTGCCTGGGTATAGCCACTGCTGGTTTTGTTCAACTTATCACAGCTGTATTATAAAAAAAAAATCCACCAACATACATCCACTAGGTATCAATAAACATGTTACTACAGGACTGAAGTTCTATGTCTGAGAATTTGAGCAAAAATATGTCTAATAGCAGAAAGGAATTCACACACAACCTCCTCCCTGGTGTCCTCCTGTCCTTATCTCAGTCCACAACCATCCTGACATTCCAAGAACTTACACAGTTATACAAATACACTGCATTTTCCCTGCTTCTCACTGCAATACATCTGTAAGTTTCAAACTTCTAAGTTATACCTCCTAGTACCTAGGCTACCCTGTTACTGGTATACTTGATTTTTTGAAAAAACAAACAAAATGCTTTAAAAGTTTCAATAACCTCTCTTCACTAGAAATGCAGGCATTACTTGATTGTTAGGGGTGGGTTTGGAACAAGATAAGTAAGCTAACCAGACCTCTGAACATACCACCGTACTGTACTTCAAAAAAAAAAAAAAAAAAAAAAAAAAAAAAAAAAAAAAAAGAACAGTATTAGCACTACTAACTGATTATACTAACCCTAAATCAATGTTCACCCTAACCCTTAGTTGCCAGGAATTGGTTTATTACCTCCTGCTCCTTCAACGAACTCCTTTAAAATTTTACACCTAGTGCATTAGAAGTATGAAGTCATTTAGGATGAACACAGCATTTCATACCTTTCTAAGTCTACCAATACTCAGTGCCTGGTAAAGGCAGGTGTATTTTTCTTACACTGCCTCAGGGGCTACTGATTTGACAGAGACCACACCTTTACTGATTATTCTTCCACTTCAGTGACCCAGAGAATTAAACAAACCTATTTAACCACCCTTACTTTACATGTTTTAGTGAAGCCTAGAAGAAAGGATAACAGTGAATTCAATTCATCCTGGTCCATAAACAACTTTTAACCATAAGCAAAAGCAACAGGTGCTGACCCTATGAATATGGAGGTACAGCATTGTAACATAAGATATTAATTCATTACATAACGAAGTGTAGGATCAAGAGAGGAATAACTCAGATTTGAAAACAAATCAAAAATGCTGCTTTGAATAGGTTGTATAACAGTTCAGTACACAACTCAGACAAAAGGATTTCCCTAGATTTTCAATTCAATTAATCATTTAGTACATACAGATGTATAATTTAAAACAATAGTAGATTTTCCAGTTAACTTTGAAAACAAAGAAACAGATATGTTAGTCCTGACAACTCTCACTCATTTTTGTGAGATTTTAGGGAAGATTTGAAAGCTCATCACTCTCTTGGGACAGGATTCTCTTACATCTTTTAGCAAGCTACTTAAAAGCATCTTCGAAATATCAGGCTCAGTGAAGAATATTGACTAAATTTAAAATGATTTGATAAATACATGCTGTCACATCCCATTCTTCAGAAAAAAAAAAATCAGCAAAAGCAGACAAAACTCCAAGAATACCAGGGGATTGCTATCAAGTCACTGCATGATGCCATTTTGGTCATATTTAAAGCAATGCAGTAGACATATTAGAGCAGGCTTTTCCACTCAGACTTGTTTAATCCACACTGCAACAGCTGGAAGCCTAAGTCTGAGAGGAGAGTTGAATTCTGATACAATGATTTAGTTTTTAAACACCATTTCTACTGTAAGAAAAAGGTTTTCTGTTTTTCAACAGTTTACAAAATTATTACCCAAGAGACATACACTGATGAAAGCAGTTTCAAGAAAAGGATACACCTCTACCACAGCTGCCCCAAACTTTTACAGGCCAAAGGATGACTGTAGTTTTCTGGAATGTATAGTTGATACAATGTCACGGCCAAAATACAACTCTGAGAACAGGGGCTAAGGTATTTATCTGTGCAGAAATGAGAAGCTAGAAACTTGCAGAGAAAAAATATTTAAGGAACAGCAATGTGAAAATAAGTGTAAGTAGACATTACTTCAGCTCTAATATTACTGTTCGAATTTGAAGTTTAGAAACATTATTCGTAACACCTTTAAATGATCACCACTACTTGATATTCATTGATTGGTATAAAATAAGAGATTGATACTAATTATCATCACACCTAAGAAACATAAAGCAAATGAATACCACCAAATTTCATGTTCTTCTTTTAGTGATTTTTGTCTCAAACACGAAAATAAAAGCATTAGTAAGTGTCAGCCCTAATTCTGAAGTGAACTTACTCCATTTTTCACTGGCAAAGATTCTGCACTGGACTAGGTATGCAAGTACCACTATTTACACCAAGCTGTGCTAATAGGATGTCTGGATAAGAAGAGTTTTAATATAATTTTGAGTTGTATTATCTTTACAACACTAATAGGCAATAAAAAAAAGAAAAAATCACACACATAGACACACATATAAACCCCCATAGTTTTGATCATTAAAGCAAAAAGAGATATTATCTACCTTAATGTGCATATTGAAGAAATTAAGAGTATTTTCCAAGTCATTTCTCAGAGTAATGCCCCTTTGTAAAGGGACTAATTATTAAACACTCCAAAAAGATTTGTACTATGTGTCTGGATCATGCCTTGTTAGAGAAAGTAAATTATAAAAGTAGAGTAGAATCCCATCTTAATTACTCATCTTGCACAACAGTAAAGAAAGTCACTTTGAAACATTGGATTCCACATGAAGAATACGTAAGATCAGACTAGGGAAAGGGGAACAGCAAAATAACTTAAACCTGCTGCTATATCAAAGTCCTTAGCAGTTCATAACACATTGTTGAATTTGAGTTGCTCATTGACAACACCTGAATTTAAATACTGGTCATATATAACACTCTCTGCCCTAATGTTTTCCCCCTATGAAAAAGGGTACTAAAATGTCTTCTCACTAGCCTCCATTAAGACAAAAAGCAAGATGTTCTTCAGTAAATTAAGCAGAGGACAATTAAACAATAAGTTTAAGGAAACAGAGAGAAGATGCACTAAGTTCCTAGACGAAGAGTTTGATGGAGAAGGAAGACCATGATCACTCTGACCTGCAGCAGTCTTCTAAAGGACATCCACTGAGGCAGCACTGATTTTATTATACTGCTCACTTTGCCACAATGCATATTCCCCATAAAAACTTATGGCCTATAATATATAGCTGTGACCAGCAGTGCAGCCCAACACAGAAAACGAGTATGTGCACTTATGCAAAAAGAGGAAAGAGTTCCCTCCTCTCTCCTGCATGGACATACGCAAAAAGGCGAGTTTCAGCTGGACTGTATCTCTATACCACAGGCTCGCTTTCCAAATTTGTGATAATTAATAACTGAAAATGCCACAGCTCAGAAGAGCTTACAGATTATTCTTTCATTGTTTTCTCTGAACAGAACATATATAAATTTGGTGAGTTAATGTATTTTGTTTTCCATTAATGCTAGTAAAATCTTTTGCTCTAGCTCTTAGCGTAACGCACTTTCTCAGGCTGCATGTAGCACTCCATAAGCAAGATCGGAATGCTCCATCAATGGGCATCTTAGGAAAGATGTTTTGTCCATGTTTTAAGCAGAATGAATTAACCTTACCTCAAAATAAAATTCAAAAAGACCCACAAATCACACGCAGGAAAACAGAAGAGGGGAGGTGGGTGTGTGGCTGTGCGTGTCCACATGCATTTGCACGCACACACACACACAGAGCCATCTTTGTGGGAGACAGCTTCTGTAGCATTAAAATTATGTTAAAGGTATATGGATGTATAATGGATCCTACATGCTATAATACGTAAATTTCAAAGCCATAATAGAAGACCCCACCAAAAATGGCTGGTCCTGGCCATCGTGGAGTGGCCTGGGCCAGCACTCACACCAAGCTCGGCATGGCGCAAGCCCCGCGGAGGCCGGGCGAGGAGGGGCGAGCCTGGGGGGAGCCTGGCGAGCCCCGCCGCCCGGCACAGCCGTCTCGGTCCGCAGCGGGCACGGCGAGGCCCTGCCCGGGCAGCGACGGCAGCAGGGCATGGCGGGGGCCGGGCACTGCCCCGCGGCGGGAGCGCGGTGCCCCCGGGGGCGGCGGCGAGGATACCGCAAGGATGGGGATGGGGACGGCACTGCCACGGCCACCGAGCGCCTGCCGTGGACAAGGGGGCCGCGGGGCAGCGGCCGCACGGGCCCGCCCACCCACCTCCTGCTGCGCTCCCTCCCTCCCTCCCCCTTGGCCGGGCCCGGCTGGGCTGCGCCGGGATGCGGGACGCCTCGGCAGGTTACCCCGACACCTCGCCGCGCCTTACCTCAGCCGGCCCGGCAGCTGGAGCCGGCGGGCGAGGGCGCAGGGATCGACAGAGATGGAGGCGGAGGTAGAGCCGAAAGTAGAGCCGGAGGCGACCAGGCTCCCTGACAGCGTTCACGGCAAACCTCCGGCTTTGCCCGGTCCTGCTGCCCGGCGCCTGATATCATCTCCCGCGGCGGCCTCCCCGCCCCTCGCCGCTGACGCACTCCCGCTGATACGCCCGGAGCCGCCGCTCGCCCCGCGCCGCCCGCCATGGCGGCTGCGGGACCCGCATCGCCCTCGGCCCCTCACTGCGCGGGGTGGGGCACCTGCTACCCGGCAGGCAGGGTGGTGGTACCTGCGCCGCCGCCCCCGCCACCGCGGCACGTAGAGCAGTACCTGTGCCATCGCTCAGCGCGGCGGCAGCCCGGGAACCTGCTCCGTGGCCAGCATCGGCGGCCGAAGTGGTACCCACACCACCGCTCGCCGCCGTGGTGGCACCTGTCTTGCGGTCCTCGCACACAGAGGGAGCCCAGAGCTGCCTCAGAGATCTGTGGTAGTCGCAAGGAGAAAGGAGCGAGACCACACGTAGTCTCTTAAGCACACCATGAGGCCAGGGGTGAAATATTCCGCCTGCAAGAATGGCAGCCTCATGGATCCAGCCAGCAAGGGCTGCCTCCCCATCTCCAACAGACACACCATGGGCCAGCTCAAGGTCTCACTGCTGCTCAAGTTCACCAAAGTGGGGTTCTGCGAGGAGTACTGGCAGAAGTGTTTACCAAAGGAAAATGTTCATCCTTGTTCCTCAGCATCGGCCACCACTGGCCACAGCACCTGAGTGTCCACGCCCAGAAAGACCTGCATGCCAGGGAGCTGAAGAACACCAAAATAAAAAAAAAAAAAAAAAAAAAAAGGTTTTTGTGAGAGGATAGCATTTACCCTTGACTCTGGCTATAGAAGGTACCCTTGCTTTATAGAGATGATCCCGTGCTCTGAAGTGGGGAAACAGTAGGTGCACAGCTGTAGTGGCATCTGTGGGACAAAGAAGGCTGGGCACAAACTGGGGTACAGGAGGCACTCCATGGGCTTCTCAGTGTTATGTACCAAAGACAGCTTTGTCACTCCAGGGACTAGTGGAACAGATATTCAGTTTGTTAAAAATTATTATGTGCATGTTCAAATTATTGGGTTTGTGCAGCAAGATTTTGCTAGTGGGGAGGCAACAGCGTTGACTTCTCTGAGAACCCATCAGAAACTTTGCTCATGTCTGACACAGCCAATGCCAGACAACTCCAAGATGGACCCGCAACTGGCCAAGGCCAACAGCATCTATGGTGGCGCCTCTGGAGTAATATATTTAAGAACGGGGAAAACAAGTTGTACACCTGCAGCCCAAGAGTGTAGTGAGAACATGTGAGAGAAAAAACTCTGCAGACATCAAGGTCAGTGAAGAAGGAGCGGGAGGAGGTGCTCCAGGCACTAGAGCAGAGAGTCTCCTGCAGCCCATGGAGGTTCATGGTGGAGTAGAGACACACCTGCAGCCTATTTAGGATCTCATGTTGAAAGCAGGTGGATGTGTCCACAGGAGGCTGTGACTCTGCAAAGCCTGTGTGGGAGCAGGCTTCTGTCAGGACCTATGGAGAGAGAAGCCTACACTGAAGCAGGTTTGCTGGCAGAACTTGTGATCCTCTGGGAGGCCCATGCTGGAACAGTTTGTGAAGAACTGCAGTCTATGGGAACGACTTACGTTGGAGAAGTTTGTGGAAGAGTGTTTTCCTTGGAGGCCCCCATGCTGGAGCAGGGGAGGAGTGTGAGGAGTCCTTCCTCTGAGGGGGAAGCAGCAGCAGAGACAACTTATGATGAACTAACCACCATACCTATTCTCTGTCTCCCTGCACTGCTCAGACAGAGGAAGTAGAGAAACTTGTGAGGGAAGTTGAGCCTGGGATGAAGGAAGGAGTTGAGGAACAAAGTGTTTCTAAGATTTTGGGTTATCCTACTCTGATTGAATTGGTGAGAAATTAAACTAATTTCCCCAAGTTGAGTCTATTTTGCCCATGACAGTAATTGTTCAGTGATCTCTCCCTGTCCTTATCTCGATCCATGAACCTTTTGTTATATTCTCTCTCCCCTGTCCAGCTGAGGAGGGGAGTGACAGAGCAGATTTGGTGGACAGATGGCATCCAGCCAGGGTCAACCCACCACACAAAATAATGTAACTTTGCTGAAACAGATTACAAGAGGGAGTTTGGGAGACAGCATCAACAGCACTTTTAAAAATCAGTGGTCATCTTAAAAGTCCTTTTACGACAAGCTTTGACAGAGCTCTCTTGGCTAGAGAAAAAGGGCCAAAGTTTATACCCTCTTAATTTTTTCTTCTAATTAGAGTAATACTGATTATATTTTGGACTTACATTTCAAAAAAAGACTTTTTTTTTTTTAACATAGTGTTATATAGTGAAAATTGTTCTGTAATACATAGAAGTAGAAAATAAGACATCTTAATGGAAAAAGATTGCAAATTAAACCTATCAAGAAATTTTTAAGTAAGTACCTCCACTTCCTGTGTTTTTTGCTTTCACATGAACCTAGAAATTTGTTGTGGTTTTCTACCTTCATTGTTGCTGACAGTTTCATGGAAGAACCAGGCACCTTTGGTGAAAAACTTTTTGGCCATGGTTATTCACTAGATATTTTAAAGGAGATTAGGAGACCTGGACTTGCAAAATGTAATTTCATAAAAGTATTTCCTTCTTAGATGCTTGGGATATGGATGTGCTTTTAAAGTCCTTTACATAAAATCTTTCAGAAGAGGAAATAAAAAGACAAATAAGATCTTAAGAACGGACAGAAAAATAAATTCAGACAGAAATCCTCCAATAAATTACTGTCTTTGCAGGTCACCTTCAATATTGCTTAAAAATAGATTTGCATTTAAATTTATTTTTTAATTGTTATTACTTCTTTCATGACATCTCTTATGTCTGGAAGAATCTCTGTATGAACCTCACAAATAACTATATACTTTCTGCTGTTGAGAGGTTTACAGAGATCTTGACAAAAGATTCTTGGTCAAGACAAGTGCCTTTTCTGGTAATCATATTAATCACACTGCTAGTTCATGTATCCACTTCTTCTCTCCTGCATCATTATTACATTGCAAATTTTTAGAAGCATGTTCAGCTTTACTAGTATGACTACTGACACCAATAACATTAAATATGTGCAGTGGGGGATCTTATGGATTACATTACATAGAGCTAGGATGATATATGTGCAATGAATCATACACACACACAGAGTCCCACCTGCCTCAAGGAGTCTTTGCCTCTCTTTCAGCATTCTGAATTGCCATGTTAATTTTTACCATAAAGAATGTGGCCGTGTACAGAAATAGGTGATGCTCCCACAACTAAATACTTTTGTCAGACCTTTGCATTAAAGAGGGAATGTAGAAGTAGAAGGTCTGGCATCTTACCCTATATTTTCACACACCTATATTTTCTCTCTGATATCTTAGCTCAATTGACACTTCCTAAGAAATATCAGATTGGAAACAACCCTAGTAAATTGTCTGGCGCACATCTTGCTATCAAATGTTTTTCTAGACTGATTTTTCTTAAATCTCTAGTGAGGGAGATGCCTGCAGACTGCCTAGGTGGACTTTGAGATTAAAGGTTTTTCTAGTAAAAATGACTAAAAGGAAATTTAACAAATTCTCGCTGTGTCATAGTCATGAATATTATCTGCAAAGTGACGAGCACACAGTGTAGCATGCTAAATACGAGCGTGCTATGTAGCTACAAGATACACATCCAAATATGCTTTCAGCACAGCTCCTGTGACTTGTGTTCCAAATGTATTTGAGTGACATATGTGCTTAGAAACATGGAACCATAGAATGACTTGGGTTGGAAGGAAGCTTTAAAGATCACCTCATCCAACGCCCCCACATTAAGAACGGACATCTTCCACTAGGCCAGATTGCTCAGAGTTCTGTCCAACTTGACTTGAACACTTTTGAAGATGAGGCATCCATAACTTCTCTGGGCAACCTGGTCCAGTGTCTCACTGCCCTCACAGCAAAAAAAAAAGTCATAGAAATATACTTATTATTAGATGTTACAGCTAATGATTGTGGGACTTGTCACTAGAGAAAATCAAGAATTTAACAGGAAAAATACTGGGGCAAACATGGGTCTGACAAGTAAAGAACTGGTGGCAGATACTGCTGGGTAGCTCTGATGGCTACACACCTGTTGAAGAGCACAGGTAGAGCCAGCAAGATTTGGCAGTCAGGGAATTAGTTCTTTATTGTTAATTACTCAGGAGTGCCTAAGCCATGTAAAAAAAAAAAAAGGGACAACCCTGCTCTTTGCAAGGTTTACATAACAGACCAAAGCATAACAAACCAAGCATACAAAGCACACAAAATCACAGTCACTGACAATCTCACTTTGTATTTCTTTCTTTTCATCCATAGAAAAGGGCAATCTTAGGGGTGTTTTTAAATTATGTGTAAAGAAAGAATGGTTTAAAGAAAGAAACATGCATCTTGAAATTCCTTTTACTGACAAGTTCTTTTGCAGCACATCAGGCAGGTATGTGGGCTCCATCTATCCTCCAGCTTTCTCTTATCTAATCTCACCCACCACCCCCTACAACATGCAGAATTGACATATTTTGCATAGACATGTTCACTCCATTAGAAGTGATGTCATTTTGTGATCTCTGCTGATGAGATATTTCCATCCATATCACTTATTAGCAAAAGTCTGTATGATATACTGTGGTGGGTTGATCTTGGCTGCTGCCATATGCTCAACAAGCATCTCTATCACTCCTCCTCATCATATGTACAGGGGAGAGAAAATATGATGGAAGACTCATTGGTTGACATAAGGACAGGGAGAGATCACTCACCAATCACTGTCACAGGCAAAACAGGCTCAACTCAGGGAATTTAACGTAGTTTATTGCCAAACAAATCAGAGTAGGATAATTAGAAATAAGAATAAATCTTAAAAACAGCTTTCCCCTGCCCCCTCTTTCTTTTCAGGCTTAAGTTCGCTTCTAATTTCTCTACCTTTTTCCCCCAGAGTGGCACAGGGGGACACGGAATGGGAGTTGCAGTCAGTCCATCATTCATTGCATCTGCTGCTCCTTCCTCCTCACAGTCTTT